TTCTTGTAAGAGCTTAGTTGCATAATAATTTGGAACTACTCACAAATCATGTATGCAATCTTACAGTCGATATGTCACGACTGGAGTGACGATCATTGCTTGAAATTTTTGAAGAACTGTTATACCGTGCTCCCTGACAATGGGAAGGTGATTCTTGCTGAATGCATTCTTCCAGTAGCTACAGACAGCAGCCTTGCCACCAAGGGAGTTGTCAATCTCGGCGTGATCATGTTAGCTTACAGCCCCGGAGGAAAAGAGCGGACGGAGAAGGAGTTTGAGGCCTTGGCTAAGGGATCTGGATTCAAAGGCTTCCGCATCATCTGCTCCGCTTTCAACACCTATGTCATTGAGTTTCTTAAGAGGATTTGAGTATAACTTTGGCAGTGGTATACATGCTGCCGTCTGCATTCATATTGCTTTTATTTTGATAAGGTGGTCGCGCATTTTTTCACCATAACTAGGTTTATAACAAACAAAAAAAATGTAATAAAAAGGTGATTTTATGTTCGTTGTATGTTATAAATTTGGATTCATAGGCTTGCAATGGGGTGTAAAACATGAAAAAACCTGGTGTACGACGGACAAATCATGTGTTTGTGCTGCCATAAAGAAAAAATAAAGACCTATTCTCTGTGAGAGTTTTTTGTAGGCGTATCAGAGCATCGTTTTGTGGGCAAATGAATGAAACTACTGTGAGTCTTGCTCTAACAGTATTGTCTGGGAGAATAAATGTTGCACGTTACTCAAATAGTTTAATTTAAAACCCCTTGATGCAATCTCCACCGTTCATGTCAAGACAACAAATATATCTTTTAGTAGTGATGATAATGTATTCAGTGGAACATTCAACATCTATATATATATATATATATAGATGTTGAATGTTCCACTGAATACATTATCATCACTACTAAAAGATAGATAGATAAATATATATATAGCGAATAGGGCAATGAATATTGCAGATTTGGTGTTATGGCTTCGACAAAAATATTAGGACAAAATTGACTCTCAACCAAAAAAATCCAAAAGCTGCCTAACATAATATATCAAATAATGCATGGGTAATTTGGTAATTTGAGCATTATAAAATATAATATAAATATAAATGCGAAGAGAGAAAAGAATAAAAAAATGGAAGGACGAGTGAAGGTTGACATTGCCCGCATCAAGAGGAAAGAAAAATATAATAAAAAATAAGGAAAATCATAAATGTTGTGTTCAAAACATCTTAAGAGGCACGTAGCACCGGTGATAAATTAGTACAGTTTTTATTTTTTTTTTATTTTTTTAAATAGGTTAGCAATAATGTGATTCAATCAAATTTTATGAAATATTATTTTTTCTATTTTTAAATACGTTCAAAACATTTTAAGGGACGTGTAAGGCCAATTATAAAAAAGGTCATTCCCACGCGGATAATAATGTGATTAAATTAGTTATCAAATGATTGTTTTTTTTTTTTTTAACAAACAATATTATCTATACTAAAGGGAAGTGGAGTGGGTTTAGCCTCATAATGAGCTAGCAATAATGTGATTCAATCAATTGTTTATTAACATTAACTTAGTTGTCAAATGAATGTTTTTTATTTTTTTAACAAATAATATTATCTACATTAAGAGGGAGGGGGTGGGCTTAGCCTCACAATGGTTTAACAATAATGTGATTCAATCGGTTGTTCATTCAATATTATTTTCTCTATTCTTAATGTAAATTCTATAGAGACTGATTTTATTATGTGAATTCAGTTGCTTTAATTGGTTTATGAGGGGTTTCTTCTAGCATGATCTAATATTATCCGTTTACTACAAATATTTGACTTTCTTTTTGTCAATTTACGCATATAAATACATTTAAAATATGTCAGTCGCGCGTACCATACCGTGATTCAAAGAATGCCTTTAGCACACGCGTAAGTGCGTGCATGAAGGCTAGTCATATGTTAATACATCCTACGTTAGTCAATTGAACTGTGGAAAGCGAAAACTAATCAATGAAAATCTAAATTGGTGAACAAATATTTTAATTAAACACATTGCACAACTTATCTCTCTTAAATTTTTAATACTTTTGCATGGTTGGTGAAGAAGTTTTTTTAATGAGGGGAGACTTTTGTACATCTTTTGGTTGTGGAAAGATTACTTTTCTTCGGAAATGGATTATTTTTGGATCGCTTCTATCTATTCCATTAACCTGGGGTTTCAAACTATTGAAATTTGATCTAACGGCTAAAGTTATTATAACTTTTAAAGTGGACTCTTGTTTGTAGCAGTGGCGGATCCAGAATTTTAGCATCGGCTAATGTTTACTTGAATGAGATTGGGACCCACTTAATTTACTCTCTCCTTTTTATTGAAATCTCTAAATTGTTTTTTACTTCGGAATTGATTAAAAACCCATCATGTGGAGTCTAAGGGATGTCCAATCACAATGAGAAGAGCAGTCGGCAGTGCTTTTAAAACTTTTTTTTATTGGCTTGGCTCAAAACGGTGTGTTTGGCCACGTCTATTGCGCCCTGACTCGCCCTCAAAGTTTGGATATGTAAATTATCATTAAGTTTGTTCATATATTTTTCAAAAACAAAACTAAGAGGGAAAAATATTAAACACAATACCTTAAGAGAATTTTATTAGCACTCCAAAAATCTCATTCTACACTCCTCTTAAGTGTATTTTTCTTTTTAATTATAGAAAAATATTATAACAATTTTGTTTATCTTAAATATAAGTATAAATACTCTTAAGAATCCCTAAAAGGAAATAAAACAATACAAAACCAGATAAAGAGTACATTATAAAGCTAGACTTAAAAGGTAAGACCTGTGGAAGGCATGTGGGGTCCTGCATGGTGGTCGACAACTTGGGAAGAGGATCCTCTCTTGAGCTCAGGATGAGGATCCTTCTGACCAGCCCATTTGGGCCGTTCAAATTTAATCCAACGGTTGCAAATATTATAACTTTTAGAGGGCCCCCTGTTTGGAACCGTTGGATTAAATTTGAACGGTCTAGATAAGCTGGTCAGGAGGATCCCCATCATGAGCTCAGGAGATGATCCTCTTCCGGGGTAACTTAGTACCGCATCAAGGGCATGTTTACCAAAGGGCAATAGGATGGTGGGAACCAGAATTGCACATATCCCTAACCATTCTAGCCGTTACCAAACTATCAGGAATTAAAATAATTGTGGGACCCACATAAAATCAGGAATTCAACTCTTGAAATGGCCGGAGTCTAATTCTTGAGTGGGAGAAGGCATTTGAATTCCTGGAAATGGTGTCCATCAGGAATCCAAATTTTATACCGGTAATACCCTCAAACTCCAAAGATGAGAATGGTATCAGTGTTTGTAGCCGTTGCGAGTGTGATAGCTGGCCATAGTTAGGGGTGGAATTTTTTTGCCAAATTACCATACCAACCGAATTACCAACCGTACCATACCAAAGTTGTGCCAAAAAAGTTGTACCATTGGTAATGGTACGGTATTCGTACCGTACCATACATTTTTGGTACGGTAATGGTACTCAAAGCCATTACCAGTGGTATACCATATTGTACAACGACTATTAATATTATATTATTTATTTAATCATTTATATATAATTAGGTATTATTATCATTATATATGCACTTTATATTTTTTTTCCTAGTCATTTATCCAATCATCTCACCCTCTAACATCTACTTTCCCAATAAAAAAACATAAGCCTTCTTGCGCTGCGACTCTTCATCTTTTCACTCATCTAGCCACTGACTTCATCTCTGTTGCTCCAGTTCCTACGACTCTCTCTCTCTCTTCGGAGTCCATCTCATCTTTTCCTTCATCAAATTGGGATGTCTTTCTCCCTAACTTCGTCTATCAAGTTAATTTTTGTACAATTTTAAAGAATGTAGAGATGAAATTTAGGTATCTTTGTACTATTTTTTTAGGGATATTGGGTTCTTTCAACAATTTTTCCATCTATTTACTTCTTGTTTATTAAATGAATCTCTATAAAATTCTCATAATTAAATAAAAAAGTTTTAGAAACCCAAAGGGAGTGGCCAAACAAGTTTGGGCCTTGAATTGGGTTGGAAAAAAAAAATCAAATTTAGCCCAAAACAAAGTGGTAATTACCATTATCATTACCATATCATGCCAACCGAACTATTTGGCATGCCGAAATTCGGTATACCGAAAGTTTGACACGGTAATGATAATAGATTTTGTCATACCAAAAGTTTGGTATGATAATTGGTATATGGGTTTTGGTACGGTAATCATACCAATACCACCCCTAGCCATAGGTGCTGCCTTCAAGCCCTTGCTTGATAAGGCTTACGTTCCCAACGAAGACCAAAGAAAAGGAAAGATGGTGGTCTCGTGATCAGGGGTGGGTTGGTAGCATATAAAGATGGGGACGAGAGAGAGATGCCTGGGGAATTTTAGAAAGGGGTGGGTCAACAGAGAAAGATGGGATAGATAGGGGAAGAGAAAGAGATGTGCCCGAGAAATTTAGAAATGGATGGGTCAGCACGGCAACAGAGAGATGGGGGAGAGAGAGGACATGGAGTGATATATTTTTTTTCTTGGAGTTTATTTCATGTTGGTATCTGGTAAGGACCAATGAAAGAATAAAAGTTACTAGAAAAAAAAAAAAAATAGTTATTCTCTCTACTGCAAAATGAAATAATATTAGTTTACTAAAAATAATTAGATATAAAATAAATTAATTACAATAGGGGTATTTTAGTAATCATATTAATTTTTATTTCGATTTATATGAATCAGTAAACAATTTATATATATCAATATCATTTATACTCCCATTCCAGCCAATTTTGGTAAATGTTTTTAACATGAATTTGATTCTGATTTCACCTCATTCCAATTCCTTCTCAATCCAGTTCCTCTTAATTTGATTACAAATTAGTAAATGAGGCAAGAAGGTGGGTGAGTAAACAAATCCCTATATATTGCCAGTTAGCACACCCATCTCTTCTACCCTCATTCCTCCTCCTCTCCTCTCCTCTCCTCGTTCCTCTCTCTCTCTCTCTCTCTCTCTCTCCAAACACCAAATCCTAAAAATGGGTTCGACCGGAAAGACTCAGATGACTCCAACCCAAGTCTCCGAGCAAGAAACAAACCTCTTCGCCATGCAGCTAGCCAACGCCCCCGTTCTCCCCATGGTGCTTAAGACAGCCCTCGAGCTCGACCTCCTCGAGATCATGGCGAAAGCCGGGCCTGGCGCTTTCGTTTCTCCGGCGGACTTAGCTTCGCAGCTGCCGACCAAGAACCCTGACGCCCCCGTCATGCTGGACCGCATGCTGCGCCTCCTGGCCAGCTACTCCGTCCTCACTTACTCCCTCCGCACGCTACCCGACGGCAATGTCGAGCGGCTGTACGGCCTCGGCCCCGTATGCAAGCTCTTGACAAAGAACGGGGATGGTGTTTCCTTTGCTCCTCTCTGCGTCATGAGTCAGGACAGGATCTTTATGGAGAGCTGGTAATTACCACTCTTGTTCTTACTTTATCATCATAATTTGATCCTAAACAAACATTAATAATGGGTTTTAAACAGGTTCATCAGATCAAAATCATAAAAATGTTACTAACTGTGAGTGGGGCCTTGAGTATGTGATTGTTATCTATATTTTTAGGGGGTTATTAAGTAGACTAATTTGTTAAACTAAATTTGCAAATTAAATTATGTGCTATTAATAACAAATAATGTTAATCAACATTTAAGTAATAATCCAATCATCACAACTATATCATTTAATTTACAACATTTAGTTTAAAAATTTAATCTCTCTAGCATTACTCTTATTAGTAGAGTAGAGTAATGTTATGGAGACTATCTATTTAATACATATTTTATAAGAGAGATGCTGAGAGGACTCTCTCAAAGTGACATTTTCCATAGACTCTCTGCCACTTTACAGTTTAACGTTAATTTTCTTATCAGCATTATAAAACACGTTAATTTTCTTATCAGCATTATAAAACATTTTGCCAAAAACATGAGGTGTCAGAGAGTCCATTGAGAGTTGCCTTAACATTTCTCATTTTATAAACTATATAATGTGTTTATTGATATTTTGATTAACATATTTATTTTTATTGGTGACACATCAAATCAGTTACAAATTTTGTCTAAAAAGTTAATCTACCCAACATTATCCTTTGTACTAAGAGATATGATAAGGAGATTCTACCAAAATGATACTTTCTATAAACTCTCTACCACCTCAATTTCCATTCATTTTTCGTATCAATATTATAAAATTTATGCTAAATACATAAGTTGTCAGAGAGTCCGTGGAGAGTCTGCTTAACATTTCTTTTTGAGAAATGCTAAGGAGACTTTTCGTAGACTCTTCGTCTCTCATATTTTTAGCACATTTTTATACTAATATTATAAAATATTGTGTCAAAAAATAATATGACAAAAAATTCGTAAGAAATTCTACTGTGAAAGAGTCTACTTAACCTTTCTCTTTATCATTCTCTACTATTTTCTTCTTTGTTCATGTTACTTTTGCCCGATTTGGTCGTTGGAGACAGACAAGACTGGAAATTCATCATTCTTGTACAGTTTTAGGAATTTTGTAAAGGAACATATGTTTAATTTAAACAAGTTAGATAAAAATGTAGGATAATCTATTTACATCTTAACATTTTCCTTTGTATGACTCCATTGTTTAACACTTTAATTATTCTATTCTTCCATAAAGCTCGAACGTGAGTTAGGTTAATTTGCTAGAGGTGATTTAAATCCCCTCCTCCATCATTTTCATAAGAACGTCGGAATAAAACTGTATACTCGAACATAAGAGGATACTGCCTTGCTAAATAGCGCAATCCACATCAATACAAGAATTATGTCAACAATTCCTTATTATTTGATGCTTGCGAGTTATGCGGGCATTGAAACGCGTGGTAGGTGGCTTGGCCTAGGTCACATATAAGCCATGCCCATATGACTGATGAAACGACGTGTTGTTTCGTTATTTTACACATACTATATGCTTTTGGTTGTGAGAGTGACATGTATGCTTGTTTTGGGTTTGTGCAGGTACCACTTGAAAGATGCAGTTCTTGAAGGAGGAATTCCATTCAACAAGGCCTTTGGAATGACTGCTTTTGAGTACCCTGGCACTGACCCTAGATTCAACAAGGTCTTCAACAGGGGAATGGCTGTCCAATCTACCATTATCATGGAAAAACTTCTAGAGACCTACAAGGGCTTTGAGGGCCTCACATCCGTCGTAGATGTTGGCGGTGGCACTGGCGCTGCTGTTAACATGATCGTTTCTAAGTACCCCTCGATTAAGGGTATCAACTTTGACTTGCCTCATGTCATAGACGATGCTCCCCAATTTCTTGGTATGTTCTTCATTTCTGATAATGCTTGTAGTTCATTTACTTAAAAGCATTTACCTCGACCTTTCTCAAGTTCGATTTCTCCCCCTCTAATATTGCTTATGTTTGTACTATTTATCATTTTTGCTAATGAATATGAGATCTATGGATGTTGGATGTAGGCGTGGAGCATGTTGGAGGAGACATGTTTGCAAGTGTTCCAACGGGAGATGCAATTTTCATGAAGGTTAGTTATTATTTATCAGAAAGAGAGTCGATGACTATTTTGTAGTGGTAATATCAATTTCTTATAAGAGCTTAGTTGCATAATAATTTGGAACTACTCACAAATCATGGATGCAATCTTACAGTCGATATGTCACGACTGGAGTGACAATCACTGCTTGAAAATTTTGAAGAACTGTTATACCGCGCTCCCTGACAATGGGAAGGTGATTCTTGCTGAGGGCATTCTTCCAGTAGCTCCAGACAGCAGCCTTGCCACCAAGGTAGTTGTCAATCTCGACGTGATCATGTTGGGTTACAACCCCGGAGGAAAAGAGCGGACGGAGAAGGAGTTTGAGGCCTTGGCTAAGGGATCTGGATTCAAAAGCTTCCGCGTCATCTGCTCCGCTTTCCACATCTATGCCATTGAGTTTCTTAAGAAGATTTGAGTATAACTTTGGCAGTGGTATGCTGCCGTCTGCCTTCATATTGCTTTTATTTTGATATGGTGGTCGCATATTTTTCACCATAACTAGGTTTATATGTTACCAACAAAAAAAAAAAAAAAAAAAAATGTAATAAGAAAGAAAAAATAAAGAACTATCCTCTGGGAGAGTTTTTTTTTTTTGTGGGCGTATCAGAGCATCGTCTTGTGGGCAGATGAATGAAGCTACTGTGAGCCTCGCTCTAACAGTATTGGTAATTGCTTGACGCTAAACATTACTTAAAGCCTGCACCAACCAATAATTTTGATTTTACAATTACACGTGCAAATTGACAATTTGAGATTCTCTCTATGCAATGTTTTTTTCTTTGTGAAAGAACTTGCGTTTTGAGAAAATCTTAGTCACAATCAATATTATTTAACTTTGATCTCATTTATGGGAATGGTTGATATTCATCAAAGAATCACTATTTTTTACGGTTTCAATTTTAAGATATAATATTGATTGAACTTATCACTATGATTAATTGTTTTAGGGTGTCTTTCAACCATTGGATAGAATTTGAGTTTGTATACACAATTTGATACTTATAACCAAAAATCAACGCTCTAGTGCAATTTTTTACCTAAGTACATAACTCTCTCAATAGATAGAATTAAAGTTAATTAATAGAATTGATCACGAGTGAGATTTCTTCACAACAATCACGAATTGAACTAATCAAATTTGATTCCATTTCTACAACATCGTAAGTTCATTTGTAACTACATCTCTTCGAGTCAGAACAAAAGCCATTTCAAGTACCCTCCCTATGAACAATATTACATGAACTTGCCGCCTACTAGTAAAACAACAGTTCACTTTTCTGGTATTTTTCATACACCGTTATCCGCAATACGGCTAAACAACAGGAGCTTTGTTCATTTCTTCATCGCGGCTTGCTGCTTCATCAACATCCTTTTGCACTCCCAGTCACCAATGTGCGCAGCAGCATGGCAATGTGACAGTTTCCACAACCCGCATGGAGCGGCAGAATCGCAAACATAGCAGTAGCACTACATACAATCAGTGAATTCACTTTTGAGATGCCAAGTTAAACAATATAGATAGGGAATCGGGGATACATTCACAAGATGCAAATATTTGAAGTTGTAAAACTCTGTTACCAGCTCACAGTAGCTCTCATGGGGTGTCGTCTCGAAAGGAAATTTCAGGCAGAGGTGTCTTGAATGTGGATAGTCTCTACAAGCAACCTACACAGCATCAATTCAAATCCACACAAGGCATCAGACATTCACCAAATTAGCTCATAAATTTACAAAAATTGGAATAAGAACAGATAAGCAGAAAAGTTGGAAGCTTTATTATAAATTTTAAGTCTTTTGAGGTCAAACACCAGAAGGTTCATAGGCAAAATGTCACAATGGGGTTACAATTTCTAATTCATTTGTTCACCTGCATTTTCCTAGCAACCAAACACGACAAAGAAAGAAAATTGATTAAAAATTTCCCTTCTTTTGCAAAACCCTAGAAGGGTCATATGTAGAATGGGGTTATGATTTCAAATTCAATTCTTCACCTGCATTTTCCCAGCAACCAAACAGAAGAAAGAAAATTAACACAAAAAATCAAAAGGGTCAACGGTAAAAATCAAAACCTGTCCTTTCTCAGCAACAACAGCGATATCGGGAGAACCGCCACCACCACCATTATCCGACACGGACAACTTGGAAAACTGCACCGGCTCAAAGGGGTCGAAATCCAAGATGAAGCAGTCCTCGACGTCCTCAAAATGTTTGACATCGACCTTGTTTTTGACACAGACAATGTGCTTGATCGGACTCCCGTCCTCGTCCTCCGCGGAAGAAGACGACGGAGCTTTCTGGGGAGTTTTCTCGGCTGTCACCCCCTTCTTCTCGCGCGACGGCGTCGTTGACGACAGATTAATCGCTTTGACATCGATTCCGATTTCGCTCATTTTCTCTCACCCAGGATTTTGAATTTTTTGAATCTCTTTTCGTCTGGTGATTCAGATAAACAATCACTTTTAGGCTCTGGACACAATCACCACTTCGTTTAAAATGGAAAGGAGGACCGGCATCCATGGAACAGTGGCAGTGTCGTATTAGATTTCAGACTACAACTTGGGCTGGCCCAAAACTGTGAATTATCAATGTCCAAACGTGGTCCAGACCAAAATTAAAAATTATTTGGGCCTGACATCTGTGGTATGGATAATCCATACAATCGAATGACGTCATTTGCTTGCTATTAATTGGGCATGCACACATCTCCTTGGAATGGAAAAGAAAACTAGATCATGATTACAAATTGTATGATTGAAAACCATCTGTTCAACACATGTTTAAGTTCGTACAAGATAGGGATTAGTGAGTGGATTTTGTTTGTTTATTTCGTCATTACTTACGTATTTGGAGTAGTAGAAGTTGTGATTGAAAATCATACCTGATTGTTCCAGTATGAAATTTTATTTCAGATTCTTTATGTGCAACTTATCTTGTTTCAACATGAGATCTACTTGTTTTTTTTTTCCATTCTTTGCGTGTAAGTAAACACAATACAATAAAACCTCTTTAAAGTTATACAGTTTGAACCAAACCAGTTTTATAATTTTAGGGAGGTTATTACTAAATAGAGGGTGTACTTAAAAACATTATTTATTGAATTATTTATCCTTGATGAATGTTTATTTCCTAAATAGGATTCTTTGAAAGGCAAGTATTTTATTTTTTGCATATTTTTGTGATTATTGACAGTTATAACTATGTAGATGTGTACTTCCTCAAGATGAAACAAAAAAAATTATAACTTGTTACAATGTGGAATTTATTCCATTACATACCTGAAATATTATTTATCCTTAATGAATGCCGTTATTCGGAGGTTCGAATCTTTCAGTTCAAGAACATACCTGACCCACGATCCCATTATTATGTATTTCCTAAATAGGATTTGTTGGGCCCCAATTATTTTATATTTTTGCATATTTTTGTATTCATTGACAATTATTTATAATTATGTAGAGACGTCTTTCCTTAAGATGGGATAAAAAAAAATTATAACTTATTACAATATAGAAAACTAGTCATAAACGAGACATGAATTTTTTATGACTTTAAAAGAGATTATTCACCATTATAGAGTATTGCTTTCAAAAAAAATTACTGTATATATCACGAAAGAGAACGATACTATGACCTTACATATCCAGTCCCCATAAACCTATTAAGGGTATGGACATCTTTGTATTTTGCTTTGTTAGAAGCTTTGGCCACCAAATTACAAACGATAATGGTGGATGAAGGATTCCAGCACATGGTATTGTCTGGGAGAATAAACGTAGTTACTCCAATAGTTAAATTTAAAACCCTTTGACGCGATCTCCACTGCAATCTCCACTGTTCACTTCACGAGAACAAATATATCTTATTGTTGTGATAATAATGTATTTAGTGGAATATTCAACATCATATCTTAATAGATTCTACTTTATTCAATTGGACTGTGGAAAGCGCAAACTAATCAATGAAAAGTTAAATTGGTGAACAAATATTTTAATTAAACACGTTGCACAACTAGACTCTCTTAAATTTTTAATCCTTTTACATGGTTGGTGAAGAAGCTTTGTTAAAGAGGGGAGACCTTTGGAATTCTATTGGTTCTCAATTTTCCAGAACCTATCTCTGGAAATATTACTTTTCTTCCAGACAAAAAGAGAAGGGTCCAACTAAGAGGTGGAATTGCAATTTGTTTTGGTCACCAAGAGCTGCATCCAAATTCCGATCCGTCATCAACATGTTCAAAATATTAGGTGAGATGTGACGGTGACGTTTGTCAAACCCTAGCCTATTAAATAACACCATTTATCGACTTACCTAATGGACTTTGTATCAATGATTAGTTTGAGCAGATATTGAAATTAATATAGTATACTCGATATCCAGAAATTATTAACCTATTAACCTTTTCTGTTTTTATCATTGAAATGTGATCAATTTCCATAGATTATTTAGATTAATTTTGAAACTGATTGTAATCATTTGTGTGTGTGAGACTTACAAAACAAGAATGGCAATAAGAGCAAGTCCACTCTTCTCAATTGCTCAAGCAGCTGGGTGACTAAGGCCTGGTTTGGGACTGAGGTGATTCTGAAAAAAGCTGATATCAAAAAAAACTGGGAGCTGTTTTTGTGTTTGGTAAACATTCAGCTTCAGCTTTTTTCACAGTTTTGGGTGAAAAAAAGCCAAAAACAAGAAGCTACGAAACCCAGCTTTGAAAAACCGGCTGTTTTTCACATTTGTTTTACATAAAAGTTTACCAAACACTATAATACTGTTTTTTTTTTTTTTCAAAAGCACTTTTACAAAAAAGTTTACCAAACACTTTGCTGCTTTATTTCACAGTTACTTATTCTCACAGCACAGCAGAAGCTGTTTTTTTTTCAAAGCACAGCAATACCAAACCAGCCATAAATCCCTCAAAACCCCCAAAATCCTTTCCACCCCAGGCCAATGAGTCGAGCTACGGTGGAAGGAAGCAGAGCCAAATTGCTCAATTGGCCAGGAATAGCCCAACTCAACGCCTAAGTGGAGCTGGCCTTAGCAATGGATTTTTTTTTTTTTTTTTTTTTGGGTTAGGCGCATGTAGTTCACGCATGAGGCAAGTCAACTGACCAAACCTGCAGCGTTGGGGCCCGTACTGCATGCACACTCAACCCTCAGCAGTTCAATTTACACAAAATTTCTATCCTACGGTCTAGTTTTTCAGGAAAAAAAAAATAAAAGCAAAATCTAAAGAAAACACTTATTAATTTCGGCCCACACGGCATAATATGGGTTGTTTTGCAATCCAACGGTTCATATTAATTAGGTAACAAATAAATATTAAAAATTATAAAAAATAGAAATTACAGGATCATGACACATGGCACTATGAGATTCGTTAAAAATCTAATCGAAAATATTTCCAAAAAAATTTGAATTTCGAATAATCACACATAGCGTGACATGATTTGTTAAAAATCTTAAACGAAACAAACTTATCTTTTTACTAATTTTTTTTTTAAAACTAATTTTTTAATGTCAACCGCCTAGGCAATTTATTTTACAAAATAAAAAAGCACTCGGGTAATTATTATTCACTTAGACAATAATTACCTTTGCCAAATTACCTAGACAATTATTGCATTCGTGGAGTGAAACTGCTCTAATCAACTCACCCACACAATTTATGTGTGCAAATGATGGTACATGCACTCTTCTAGAATATTGTCCCAATGAAGCAAGAGAACCAAACCATTTCAGCTTAAGTGGAGTCGAAGAAATCGAACAATACCTTAATTATTATAGAGAAGGCACAATTGTTGTCTAAGGTAATTAAGGTCATCTCCAACCGAGGGTTGGTTAGAGGGCTAGTTTTAGCTTTCTAGCCCTCTAAGATATTAATATTTTAATGAACAGTACATGCCCATATTTGCCTTTGTCTCCAATCGAGGGCCAAATGACCATAAGGCCAAACATAATTTATTATTTAAAATCTACAACTTAAATTTAAAAACGACAAATTAAATTTAAAAACTACAAATTAAATTTAAAACTACAAATTAAATCTAAAAACAACATCAACTTAAATTTAAAAACTACAACAACTTAAATTTAATATCCATAATCAATATCATCTTCATCATCCACCATTGTAGGAGTATAGTCAAAGGTCAAGAACTATCGCCGAGTCATAATTTCATTTTTTATTTTTGACACACCCCGACCGAGATCAGGGCGTGATGGCCGTCACACGAAGGTGACGTAACCATGTGCACGTGCGGAAGCTAATAAAATAGTAACAAAAAGTACGAATAATTAAAAACTAGCATACAAAGTACTAAGAACAAGTGCTAGCGTAAGTGTGACGCTAAGTTCAAAGCAATAAGTCTACAACAGTCCAAAGAAAAATGATTCGACAACAGTACACCCGAAGGTGACCCTACAATGGTGAGTGTCTGTCAGAAATGCCGGAAAAGCCCTCTGGGAAACCACCACACCTGCTAGACCACTAGAACCTGGAGGGGCGCAAAACAAAAGCGTGAGTGGGCAAAAACAAAGCTTTTCGAAAACCATTTAACAAATAAGTTCTAACCCCTCGCCGTAAAACCTGTATACTTCCCAGAAAATAACGTATGTACGTACGTATATAGATATGCCAAATATGCTGAAGAATATGCCATGTCGGAACCTCATAATGAAATGCAAGTGCTCAGGTATAATCATATCAATAACAAATAATCTGGCAGCCGGAGTCACCTAACGTGACATGTACGGCTGCATATAGAGCTCAAATATCAAACTCAATAACTGAACCTGCCCACGAGTCGGAACCACCTAAAGTGGTCTGTACGACAGGCCTGGGTGTAATACATATATACGCTCTAGTGCTACGATCACGTGAAGGCTGTGCGAATAATCGCGGGTCACCTACGAGTCGGAACCACCTAATGTGGTCTGTACGACAGGACTGTGCACCTAACTTGGATCCAAGCTGAGCGTGTGGTGCGGGAGGTGAACATCACGTGAAGGACTGTGCCCTACTCTGGACGGGAGCACTAACACCGAGGGTGCAGGTTATGAGCTCTCTAAGCATCTCAAACCACTACTGAAATATAAATATGAATAACACTTACCTGGCACTTACCTGTGCGTCCACAGCACCTAATATGCATATGTATATATATATATATATATGCAACTACTAACGTAACCAACGATGCATAAATAACAATAATGTAATGCATGGCATAACTAATAAGCATTTATATCAATTTCTGGGAAAAATATAGTATATAGGTATATACGGAAAACCAAAAGCCCACTCACTGGTAAGTGGAAGGGTCGTAGCCCCCCTGCCTCGAGTGACCACGCTCGTCCTCGGGATACGTATCACCTATATGCGAAACAACTATAAAAACGTTAATTTTAAAGCACATAACCAACTTCTCGTAATAACTTCTCATACATTGCTCAAATTGGACAAATGAATATACCAAC